CTGAGCTGCAAAAGTTATTACGGGTGACTCATATGAAATACGCTCCATAGATATTTTAAAGAAACTAGATTGGAAAACGTTAGGTGAAAGAAGGACGGAGCAACAACTAAAATATGTATCAAAAGCACTTACATGCCAATTTCACGATAACATTTCGGACATGTTTAAACTATATAATTCAGATCGATATGAATTAAAAAATAACAAAAATAAGTTGATGTTGTTGAAGCCAAAAACAAATTCAATGAAACGAACTTTCGGTTATGTTGCCGCTAAAGTTTGGAATGAAAGAAATAAAATTTTTATATAATTTTATCTGGGTGGGGTTGAAGTGAATAATAAACTTTGAATGTCTTTCTAATATTATTTGGGTGGTTCGGGGAGGGTGGGTGCATGGGAATCTCTTATACTGTCTGTAAGTACACGGCCTAGTGAAAAGTAACGACAATCTTGCTAATATTTTTTTAGTTGATTAGCTACCGTGTTACAAGATGTTTTTAATAAAAAAGTAAATAAAAAATTATAATCAGAATCGGACCGATTTTTGCTTATTGTATTTTCCGATTGTGTAAAACCGATTGTTGAGAAAATACGCACTTAATATGTAAAAATCATATATATTGCGTGGTGATACACGTTCAAAAGCACTTTCTTGCGCGTAGCGTGTTGCATAGTAGGTGTGGAGCAAACCGTTGCCGCGACGAAACAATACGTGTTCAAAGCGTGTCATTTATGTTCAGATTTAACGAACTTTGGTTGCTACTAGTAACATGTTACGTTGGAAATTATCATTAAATTCTCGGAATGGATTATGACGTCATAGATAATCAGAATCGGATAGATTATTGGATGAATAATTGATAATAATCGGTCAATCACTAATACTTGTCGGGTTTCGGATGAGAACATTATTTCTAACATTGGTGTTCCAACAATAGTCACTGGGAGGCAATACAAACTGCAGCCTAAAGACCAGGAAGTCTTACGCACATTCATGGATAAACAGTAGTGATCTCTATATATACTTCTTAAGGTAATTTGATACAAGAAATAACAGTATACTTCTTAAGGTAATTTGATACAAGAAATAACAGTTACTCTTGGAGAACATAATGTACTATTAAAAAAAAATGATAGAATCAAACGTTAAGGTATTTGGCAGTCTCATTTCTCAATGAATGTATTTTATTCTGAACAAACACCCAAAACGTACTATTAAAGTTATTTAGAAACTACAACTTTAAAGGGCTCTACTTTTTAAAGCAGGCAACTAACCATCACCAAATTTTGCTTGAAAGTAGAATAACATGTGGATATGATGTGGAATAAAAATTACTGATGTGTCTGTATGGCTTCCATAAAAATTTTTCCAATAAAGATGATGTATATTTCATGTCTTCAGAAACACATAATTAGACTTTTTGCTGTGCCATAACACATTACTGGTTGCAGATACAAAGATGAAAGTGCAATATTTGAAATCTCCACATACAAATACATCTTTGTGCACATTTTGATGGAGATACCATGTACGGGTATAAAGTTACAGGTCAAAATGTAAAATAGAGTAATGGTGAATTTAGCACTGGCCACGCCCACTTTTCTGCTTTTCGGACCATATTTTGAATTGCGATATCTCAAAAACTATTGCAGCTATGATGCTCAAATTTTGAACTTAAACTATTCCCACACAATGTTAACTGCCTGCGAAATATAAAGAAATTTGGAGAGGGTGGGTGTCATGCCTGTGTTGAAATGGCATGGAATTACTCTGGACTCAGTTCCGAAATATCGCCTACTCGAACCGATCTGACCGCATAGCTCAGTTGGCAGCATTGGGCTAGTATTCTAAAAGTCGTAGGTTCGAATCCCACCTTGACCAGGCATATTTTTCAAGCCTTCCCGGTGTGGATATACACTCAGAGTAACATCACAGAAGCATATTAATAAGTATCATTTCGAGGGAAAATGTCGTGCATTTTGGATGATTGATCCTCTGACATACCCCCCCCAAATGTCAGATATTTTGCTACGTCCTGATGGTTGTATTCGAACCCGATTTCAGTTTTAAGATATCCTTAGTCTGCTCTTCTAAATGGATACATGAAATCACCTATAGCTTATTTTAAATTTTTTTGCGCCAGGTTTGTGAAGTAATTTACGCGCCAAAAAGTAGCAGTTCCAAAAACAAAAAAGCATATACGATTTGCAAGAATGATATGTTCTATGTTTATGGAATATTTCGTACAAACGGGATGGAAATTAAAGAAATTGAAGCATACTGGCACTTTTGCAAGCATTTTTGACAGGCATGCAAAGACATTTGCAACAGATGCCGGGAGATACGTTGGGTGGGGGCGACATACTGTAAGGTTCCAGCACATTACCCTGATCCAGGAAATCCTGGCCACTACATGAACGTGTTCAAGACTCCGAATACGCTGAAAGATGGACAGCAACAACCTGTTGATAATTTCACCCCTAGAGCCAATTTAAAATGTTTTAAAGACGGTGCCATTTCATCTGGCGCTAGTGAGGTGAAAGAAGCAGCAGATCGGTAGTTTTGTTGAGGAGAAGCACATGCTCGAGTATATCAGACATCTTGAGGAACTGCAAATTGTATATATGGTAAGAGAGAATTCCGGATTCTACTCCTTTGATTCCGAATTCTACAGGGGGGGGGGGCATTAAAAATTTTAAAAACTTGGAGGGGGGGCATCGAAATTCACCGATAACCTCAACAGGGGCCCTGTAAAAATATGAGCTTTTTTCAAGACATCTTCATCCCCCTCCCTCGGTGTAATAAATGTACTTTCCCTATTGTAAATAAAATTTACTAATCATTAAGGTATGGTCACTATGGTGTTAGATGTTATTAAGCAAGATCTCTCAGAACAAAAAGCCCATTCTGCATTCAATTCACTCCTCTTATTTATTTTAAAATTGATTTTGTCATTCTATCTTTTAATTATTCTTTTGTGACTGTGTTTACAGAATGTTTTAATTTTTATACTGTAAGTCATCCTATCCTTTGGCCATGTGTTTGAGCAGGAATGTTTTATGAGCAGCCTACAGTACAGCCCTAATGAAAGTTAACATCGTGTAACGAGCGAGTTGCGAGTTCGAGCGAGAGGCTATCGAGCACGATTTGGCCCCTAACGAGAAATCTGCAAGTTGCGAGAATGCGAGCGCGAAGCGAGCGAGCGTTCTCGAAAAATTTTAATATCGAGCGAGTGTTCTCGAAAATTATCGAGCGAGTGTTCTCGAACACTTTAATTAGATATCGAGCGAGAGTTCTCGAAAATTGTTTGTATCGTCCGAAATCGAGCGAGAGTTTGACCAACATGTGGCGAAATATACTGTAGGATGATAATTGCTGTTTCCTTGCATGGCAAACGTCGCGTATTTTGACATATATTTACCAGTTCCCTAAAAATATAACAATGATAGGGTGATAGCGGTTATATTATTTCGTTACTCACCTTTACCCAACTACAAGATAAACAAAATTCCCTGGTTAAATCAGCGTCTGTTTATTCGAAGTGTTACATGTTAGTGTCAGTAAAAACACGCTCTTTCTATTATATACTTTATTAGAATTAGCGGACGGTTCAACCTACTCGTTAGAAATAGAAAATAAGACTATTTCCAAAATTTTACCGTGTGACTCATATACACTAAAAGCAATCTATATCATTATAGCCTTAGGCTATAAATAATGTTAGTTCGCTTCGGTTGATTGCATTTAGTGACAGAAAACTGTATTCATGCACCATCTTTATAACCACAATAACAGGAACTCCACCGACAACTTATTGTCTCGTATGGATTATCGAAAACAAAAGAGCGTTACAGATGATGTCAGTGAAAAACATGCTGTCTAATTTATACTGAGATCTGAAGCGTCTTGGGCTCATTACTGTTTTGATCTCTGTCGGTGAGCCTGCTCTGAGAGATATTATAGAAATAGAAATAAGAACGCGATGTCTTCAAGAAACTTGACGAAGTTTTACTTAGTTAGTTAGTTTACTTTTACGCTGACAAGACACTATTAGTGGTGTTGCGTATGTGTCGTGTGAGAAGTTACTGAGCGCAAATGAAGTAGTCATCGCGGTCAAAGGAAGTGACGTCCAAGTGATGCTGAATGGAAAGGCATGGAAAGCGAAGTTGATATTTTTGTAGGTAAAATAATACTTATTATTCGTAGATTGTATTTCGTCTTTATTTCAAAATATTGATTGTGGTTTTTAATGTTTCTGGATTTTAATGTTGTCCTTAAAGATCAGTCAAGAATTGACTCTGTATTGTTATTTTCAGTTTACTCCGTGTTTTCGCACGGACATGCGAAGCAACGTTACTTCTTGCGAAAAATTTTACACACATTATAGCGCTGCGAGAATTCTCGTGAATGGATGCATCGAGATTTCTTGTTACGAGAATTCTCGAGAATGTTTGCATCGAGATTTCTCGCTTCTCGCAAAATTCTTGTGTATCGAGTAACACGAAGCGCGTTTCGAGAAGCCTATCGAGCGAGCGAGAATTTTTATCGAGTGGGTTTCGAGATCTCGATACTCGAAACATTTTCCTCGATAGCATCGAGCGAGAATGGTTAACTTTCATTAGGGCTGTACTGTACCTTTGGTTTTGCACTTTTGTGTTTGAAGAACTTTTGTGTTTGAGGAATGTTATGTTTCTAACCTGGGGACGTTTTGACCTGGGACATTCTGACCTGGGCTTGGGGACATTTTGACCTGGAAACGTTTTGACATAGGGACGTTTTGACCAGTAAGACTCCTGCCTGTTACAGCATGGGATTGCATACTTTTGCGACAAGTGATAAACATTTACATGTAACAAATTGATATTTAATAAGTTTAAAGTAGCATCTTAATATTCACCTTATCATCTGTTGTGGATGGGGATGGACAAACTGCAACACACAATTGTTACTGTTTTTTTATTTATAGTCACTAAGTTACAGTACTTACAGAATACAGTACTCACCCAAAGCATCTTTATCCTTGGTTTTTACAATACCACCACTAATAAATTGCATTGGCATACTATAGTTTGCTTTTCTCTTCTTGTCTCCTACATCATCATCATCAGAGTCTCTACTTGCCCAGATACCCAGCATTGCTTGTTCTTTAGTCATTTTTCGACGTTTCATCCCAGGGAAAAACTCATTTTGTAAATCATAATCAGTGATAGAAAACTCTTCGACTTCGTTGTCTGAATCTTCCATTTTATCTGTAAGTATTCCTTTAACTTGATCCTGGAAAGTGATCGCGAGTTTGCTAAATTTAACGAAAATCTTCTAAAAAGTGTTTAAATTAAAATGCTCAAACCTGCCGCCATCTTGAAAATACATTAGATTCAGCTTACACCAAGTTCTTTCCAGTCACATATTTATTGTATCTATTTATCTGTTTTATTTTACATTTTGCAGACTTTCCTGCATAATTGACAGAGCCATATATAATAGGTATACTAGCTTACTAGTAAAATACTACAATGGAAAATAAAAGTACAGCATTTGAGCATTTCGCCATTATGCATAAACGGCCATGTACTAATAGACATAATAGTCTATCATAATTAATTATATGTAGTTTTTATTTATATATGCTTGATTGATATTCTGATATTCTTGATATTTCTCCTTTCACTATTTCACTTTTTAAGTTCTTTTTAAAAAAATTAATTTAAAATTAATTATCTAAAATTTCTCTAAAATTTCTAAAATCAAACTCGTTTCCCGCGAGCCCGCGACGTTCTAGAGGAATCGCGGGCTCGGAGAACAGATGCTTGTGGCGGTTTGCACTATTTTCCATCCAGCAAACCGCCCTATCGATTTTCTAAAGTCGTTTCTTTTTGGATTTTTTATTAATCCGGTTAGGGTTAGAGTTAGGGTTGCGGTTAGGGTTAGGGGTTAGAGTAAGAGTAGGGTTTGGGTTAGTTACATAGCCATTTAACACCTCTTCCATCTTCCGGAGATGACGTCAGATCAGTTTGCTGGATGGAAAATAGTGCTAACCGCTTGTTGGTTAAGTGCTGACCGCTTGCAGCAGATTGTTCCAGATTGTATTCGCAGTTTGCTTTTGCTTTTGTGATATTTGACTGTTAAATTTGGAATAAACTATCTTGGTGATATGAATACATTCCCAGGCAATTCAGGAGTGTTTCTGGATGATTACAACAGTGACCTGAATTTTGTCGTAGAATCTGATGGAGTGTCAGGGTCATCATTGCATAAAAATGGTTTTGAATATATCTGGGCTGGAGCTAGAGCTACTCATGGTATATCCAAGGGAAAGGTATTGCATTGTAAACATGAAATTTTACTGCAAACACCAACTGAATGCGAATTCTATAAAAATTCTGTGACAAGTGACAACAGGACAACAGGTAGAGAAGTGAGTGAGAGCCACTGAACAGAGCCGGAAGTTTTCTACGCATGCGCGCGGAAGTAGCGAGCACGGGGTTATCGCGTGACTGAATTCTAAAAACAAACAATCAACACTTTAATAGGGGGATTCAAGGTTTCCAACGCCATTGGCTCAGGGGGTGCAAATACATTGGGGCAAGCGCATCGCTAGCGCCATTTCCCATACTATTTTATATTAGGTGCGGGAAAATTACGTTTGCACAATTTGTTGAATTTCTGCAAAAATATTAAAGAATTGTTCAATTTTACAAGTTGTGATCAATTTGTGGGTATTTTCTGATTGTTTTCATCCTATTATCAAAGGCCTGGAAGTGTTAAAATATGGCGAGTTTGTTGGGGCATTTTGCGAGCTGTTTTATATAGTTTAGTATTGTTTACATGTCAGCGTGTAGATGAAAATATTTGGTTGCTCCGAGATTTAACGCCCGTAATGGATGAAATTTTCGCTGAACATAAATATTTATCATACAGGAAAACACATGGAGTGCGAACATGTAATTTAATATCTTGTGCAGATATATTCAAAACCTGTTATGTGTTTATATCAGTGGTGTCGCATTGTAGTTGATAGCTTCGCTTCGCGATTACAAACTACAGAACACCGTTGAAAATGTTTGTTGGGAATAAAGTTAGTGCTAGTATATCACTTGTGTAGGGGTGCACTGGATTTGCAATTTTCAAATCCGGCCGGAACCGGATTTACCGGATTTGGACAAAAATTCCGGCCGGAATTCTGGCCGGATTTGCCGGATTTGAGATGAACCGGTAATTGGGACAATTGGGGATAAATTGGGATAATTCAGTATTCAAAATGGCGGTTTATGTTTTTACTATTTTTAGTTAGTGTCAGTTTAGATTTTTGATTTCCAAATCTGGCTGGATTCTGGAAAAATAATTCGTTAAATCCGGCCGAAATTCCGGCCGGATTTGAAATCCGGTGCAACCCTACACTTGTGGAGGGTTAAAAAGTTAGTTAATACAGTAAGTTCTAAAGCTTTTTTTTTATTTAGTGCAATAGTTTTGAGGATATAGGCTTTTAAACAATGAAGAGTCCCATCCCCCTGGGCTCTAAACACGGCTATTGAATTTGGCTTTTTTCGAAACTGTCCATTGTACATAGGAGCCTGGGACTCAGGAACTGTAGGTAGTTTAGAGGCCTGTATCTTCGAAATTATTTCACTCAATCAAAGAAAGCTTTTGAACTTATTAATTAACTAACTTTTTACGCTCTTTTCAAATCCATAAAGGTCCCACAAGTGATATACTATTAGGCACTATAAAACTTGTTATTATCTGTTAAACTGTTTCTAAGAGGAGTTTATACATGTGCGCCAGTTATATTGTATGCATGGAGTTTTGAGTGAACTTTACTGGAGTGTTTAACTCGTATACTCCAAGACCAAATACGCTTGCAATCAGTTAGCATTTGAACCAGTTTGCTTGAAGCCATGAATACCAAGGAAGTCTTCACTAAGCCTCGGTATTGCGAAATATACACGATATAGTGATATACTTCACCAGACAACAGAGTATATTTTGTATGTACATACCGGTACTTTACAGTCATATACTCGTCTACTATACACAATATACATGTCTATAGTCAAAACTGTATATATTGTAAATTCTCGCTTTTATCAGAGTCAATAGAAGCGAGGGACTGGTCTGGAAACTGTATTGTTTATCCAATTGAACTCTTTGTTCGCCCGCGGTATAGTCACGTGACTAAAGTAGGTGCACACGGTAAAATTGAAACCAAACATACGATTGAAAATTGAAACTAATTGAAACATATGATTCTTTACTTTTTTCGTACAAATTTCGTTTTAATACTCCATTGGTTGTATTGTATGCCTGGTGCCAACTGTGTGTTTCCGAACTGTGGAACAAACAGACGAGAAAAATATGATGGAGTTGGAATATTTCGAATCTCACAACGAAAATCTCCATTATATTCTGCTTGGCGCGAAGAAGTTATCAGTATTATCAAGAAGTATCGAGTGGTCGATGAAACCTTTAAGCGACAAATCGAGGCCTGGAATATCAGTATATGCGAAAGGCACTATAAACAAGACGATATTGAATTTACAAGTAAGCTAATCCACGTATTATATTACAGTAACTAGTAAGGTTTCAACACTCAAACAATATACTCAAAATACCTTAAAGGTGTGAAGTGTCATATCACAGATACAGGTCACATGCGTGTCAAATCACCACTAAACTTTTTTGGCTTCCAAGGATATAAAACTAGTACATATGCTGTAGCTTCATTATTAATTCAGTTCAATATGAAATTTATAAAACACTTTTCCAGCATTGTCAAAATGGCTTATTGCATTTTTAAACCACACACCCCCTATGGAGGATACTGGAATTTCCAGGCCCCCCTTCCTAAAATTCAACAAAAAAGGACGGAATTTCCAAGGGAGGGTCTAAATTTTAAAGAAAATCTGTGGAAATTCCACGGGGTAGGTTAAAAAAACAACATGGAAATTCCAAGGGATGGTTACCTATTAAACAAAAAATGTGGAAATTCCAGAGACTAGGTCAAAACCATTGGTGGAATTTCCAAGGGATGAGTAGAAATTGGTTAAAAATCTGTGGAAATTCCATGGGGTAGGCTGGAAATTTGTAAATAATCGCGGAATTCCAGGGGGTAGGGCGGAAATTCATCAACATCTGCGGAATTCCAGGGGAGGGGGTCCAAAAAATGAATGTCCTCCATAGGGGGGGTGTGGATTAAAAATGCAATAAGCCAATAGCCTTTTTATGGATCATGAAGGTCATCATGTTGAGTGTCTTTCACTTATCTTACAGATAAAAGTTGATTTTTTATCATTTATTCTTCCAGGTAAAGGAAGAAAAGCATTAGTAGTAGGTGCTCTTCCAACTATTAATCTGCCTGAAAGATCACATCAAGCAAAGCTAGCTCCAGCAAGACGACCTCTTACTATTGTTAATCAGAATGCTCAAAATACCACAGAAAAGGATTGTTACAAGAATTTTAAGGAGTTATGTGAAAGAACTAAGAAATTAAAGCTTCCAGAATGGCAACAAGAATGTACTAGTGAGAAATTGGTTCTAAAACTATTTGTGTCCCCATTATTAATTCCAAAGTTTGAGATTATTATAGAAGAAAATTTCCACTTCACTTGTGTTGTTTATGGATGGGTACTGGCCAGCAATCATTCTGTGTATGGTGGCAATAAAAGATCTTTGAAGAATATAACTGTATCTGAACTGTTGCAGAAACTTACACACTACTGCCTTTGTCATGGTATCTCAGAGCAGACAGCAGGGTCTGTGCATCATGCTATTCCTTGTCGCACCAATATTGATCAGGAAATTCAAGAATCTGCAATCCCTATGGAAACAGTAATGTACCATAGACCAAAAGAATGCCTTGTCTTGTATGCAAGCAGAACTGACACTACAAAATGTACCAACTGTTTAAGCTTTGAAAAAAAACTTACAAAACAGAAAACAATAAAAAGCAGAAAACTGAATGTTGCAGCAAAAGCAAATGCTCCTGTTTCCACCACTCACCCTCATCGTCTGAAATTAGCCCTACAGCAGCAGCGGCTAAAGTGTACACAGCTCGAGGGGGAATTGACCAAAATGAGGCAAGCTATCCAAAAATCTGGTGTGGTGCTGCAATCAGAATTTTCCCAAGATGTTCGATCTCTTATGAGTGGTAACAAAGAAAAACTCACTCCATTTATGAAGTTATTCTGGCAACAACAGCAAGAAGCATTTACCAAGAGTCCAAATGCAATCAGATATCATCCAATGATCATACGGTTCTGCCTGTCATTGGCTGCCAAATCCGCCTCAGCGTATGAGGAACTGAGAAATTCAAAGGTGCTTACATTACCTAGTAGGAGGACATTGCGGGACTATCGAAATGTCATTACACCATCCATTGGATTTAATCCTGCTCTGGTACAGGAACTTTGTCAAACAACTAAATCCCTGACAGGTATCCAGAGGTTTGTTGTTTTGGCTTTTGATGAAATGAAAGTGCAATCTAAACTAGTATTTAATAAGAACACTGGAGATTTAGTTGGATTTTTAGACTTAGGAGATCCAGATATCAACTTCACAGCCTTTGATGATGCTGAAGAATTAGCAAGCCATGCATTAGTCTTTTACATTTGGGGAATTGCCAGTGATCTGAAATTCAACCTTGCATATTTTGCAACTGGGAGCCTTAAGTCCTACCAGCTCATGCCATTATTTTGGAAAGCAGTTGCAATCCTAGAACTTACATGTAGCCTACCTGTGATTGTCGCAGCATCCGATGGTGCCTCTGCCAATCGCAAGTTTTACCGTATGCATGCAGCAATGGACAAAAATGCAGGGAAATCGGTTGTTTATCGTACTGTGAATGTGTATGCTCCTGACCGATTTATATGGTTGTTTGCAGACGCTCCTCACTTAATGAAAACTGCTCGCAACTGCCTGTACCACTCTAGCACTGGAAAGTCCACAAGATGCATGTGGAATGATGGCAAGTATCTTCTCTGGCAGCATATCTGCACAATTGTTAATGATGATGCTGAAAATGGACTTAAACTTTGCCCAAAGCTCTCATGTGAGCACACTCGGTTGACTTCCTATTCAGTAATGAATGTTCGTCTGGCTGCCCAAGTCCTGAGTGAAACCACAGGAAAAATTCTGAAAGAATACCACTCCCCCGATATGCATGGTACTGCTGAATTTTGTTTGCAACTTGATAAATTCTTTGACTGTTTAAATGTCCGTAGCAGAGAAGAGGGAAATTTCAAGCGTAAAGATGCACTTAAGCCATACACTTCGCATGATGATGAAAGGCTGAAATGGCTTGAGAATACTTTTCTAAAGTACTTAGCAGACTGGAAAAAGAGCACTGAAGACAGACCAGGTAATTTCAGCCCTACTGACAGACAGAAAATGTTTCTGTCATTGCAGACTTATGAAGGTTTGCAGATGACAGTTTACTCTGTGATCGAGGTTACTAAGTTTCTACTTAGTAAAGGGATGACCTTTGTTCTAACAAATCGCTTCAACCAGGATGTTGTAGAAGAATATTTTGGACGGCAACGCAGCTTAGGCCGCCGCAGTGATAACCCAAACATTTGGCAATTCGGGTTTAATGATAACATAATACGCACTCAGAGATCTGTAGCCCCAGTCACTGGGAATACAGAAGGAAGACATGATAAGAAGAGAAAGGTTTCATGGACAGATGTTGATGAAACTCCTTTGAAAAGAAGGCAAAAAAACAAATCAGTTTAGGAGTGCATGATATATTGCAAACTATTATGTAAATAAAATTGTGTTTCCAATTCATTTCCATAGGGTCAAATTACTTTGGGTGTCCCTATTCACTCCCTTCTATAGTATCATAGAACTAAAGGTACTTTGGGTTAGTTTTGTTTATTTTAACAATATAACAATACATATAATTTGGGTAGACATACATTGTATTTAGTTCAATATTTAGTGGGTTTCTGCATTGTTCTCAGACCTTTTCTTAATGTCTTTGCGCAGGGCTTTATTTTTGCATGCTTGCAGTTTGGTTTTATCCTTTACATATGAAAATGCCCTAACTCGCAAGAAAAGTTTAATAATTTTGTCAAGCAGACAAAATCTAGTTTCTTTGGAGATGGTAGTTGTAAATCCATGTGTCATACTATCATAGGCACTAACCATGTCAATTCGTTGAAGAAGGGCCTCGGAAATTTTGCTGCTATCAATTTTTGTTACATGAACTGCACTGGTTTCTTTGCGGAATTCTTCTTCCACAATTTTGAATACCTGGAGACACTCAGCTGTGACAGCCCAGAGACCACCCCTTGTCTGACAACTTATCAGTTTCTGAGATGAAACATCATCACTCTTTGCAGCATATAGCAAAGTCAATAAATCTTGTGCATTAGTTGATCTCCAATTTGTGAATTTGTGGATCTTTCTTACCAAAGAATGAATGACATATCCAGATAAATACTGAAGTGCTTGCATGTCTCTTTCAGTTACAGGTTTAATAACAATTTTATATTCTGCTGGCCTGCTGTAATGGGCTAGTATCTTGTCTCCAAGCCGTGTTGCAAGGAGCGTGCACATAGGAAAATCCAAGGAATTAAAATACTTTTTCGCATCCATGACAATTAACTGATAAAACTGTGAATAAAATTTTGCTGCATCTGAATTTGAACACAGTGAACTGTACAGTTTCTGAATTTCATTGGTAAGTAGTTCAGTTTTATCAACAAAAATGTAATTCTCAACACTACTACGAATTAGAGTTGAATAGCATTCATCTTTTGAAATATCTTTTTGGGCTTCCATTAACAGCTTGAAGATAATCTCTACTTCCAGCTTCGTTCTGAGTTGTGTCTCTGCGCCATTTTGTTGGTGTTTAGATTCTGTGTGCTTCACGAGCCAAGTTTTTGTTTTGTATTTCTTGTGACAAATAGCACAAGAATACTTTGCTTCATTTGTTAACTAAAACAATATTAAAACAATTATCATATACAATTATTCAAATACTATATTTTTAATACAGTACGTATCAGAAGCTGCACACTGTATTAAACTATCGCTATCATTGTTTAACCAGTTAGATAAAATCATTATTATCTAGCAATATTTTATCTTTTTATATAAAGATTGATAAATTTGGGATTGCATTTCACTATTAAAGGGAAATGGCAATATATTTTTTTATTTTCTCGTTTGAAAGAACATTTAAAACCATATATAAAACTCTTTTACCGTTTTTCCATATCTTGCTTACTTCTACAAATATTTTAATCGAAAGAAATGAAATGTCCGCCATCTTGGATTTTTGTGGATATGCATGTTACGTCACAACAGGGGTCACGCAATATTTCTATCTAGACAACCACTAATCATTTTGCACCCAAAATTACACTCTGTATGCTTTTGGAAATATCAAGATCACTTGAAACGTTTAAAACATCTACCAATCAATATTTGGTCAGCAACGAATACTTTTATATGGTTAATCCCTGTTGTGACGTCACCAAAACTACCGTTAATGAGATCAAAATTTTATCCAAGATGGCTGACATCTCATTACTTCAAGTGAAAATATTTCAAGAACTAAGCAAGATATGAAGAATCGGTAAAAGAAGTTATTAAATAGTTTCAAAAGTTCTATCAAATGAGAAAATAAAAAAATATATTGCCATTTCCCTTTAAAGTACTATTAATAAATGCGTAGTAGAAATACTAAAACAATAAAATAATTTACATTCTTACCTCTTCGATTGCAATATCATTTTCTTCTGCGACTTCTTCGATTATATTGCTATTACCACCAAGTAATTTATCGACAAAATCTAACAAATCCCCTTAGCCACAATTTGTTAGCCTGCGAACAGGCTCACTGGGAGAAAGGTGAGCCTGCACGGAACCATGCGTTTTATTCATTCATCCCCTTTTCGCATCTGCTAAACGCTAACCAATCAGCGTCGACTGCGATAAATAAACTGTCAACTGTCAAATTGACGCAAGGCGTGTACATTGTGCAACATGAACAATAATAATACAAAGCATTAGCGGGCCGCAAAATATATTACTCGGAAAAATATAGAATTCTTCAAATATTAAATAGATATCAATACACATACAAATATAAAGCCGAATAAACTACCATTGGCTTTGAATGTACAGTAATACTTGTACTATGTGCGACTGAAAGAACAATGTTCTGAATATTTGAAGCTATTACTAAAATACGGACAGATAGATTGGGATTTGGAATACCAAATACGTCTAAAATTTTACTAACTGTGGTCTAAATAAATGATAAATGAGCATGTATTTATTAATTTCTTCGAAATCACGAGTGTGCCAATAGTGGAAGCCGTATCGACGACGAAATTGTCAGCAGTTAATATACAGTAAACAGTACAACGTTTAATGTACGATATATATTTCGAAGTGACTATATGACCGGCAGCCGGTCACGGTTTATCAAATACTAAATGGCCGGCAGTCTAGTGACTATAGTTGAATATAAAAACTTTTGTTTGCGTTAACTTTTACCGAGCTTGCCGTTAGCTCATACGGCAAGGGCGCTGCGTGCGGAAAGTTAAGCGCAGTCGGGGTCGCGATGTGTTTTGTCTGACTTAGCATTGTTTTTTGTTAAAATTTTTTAAACTTTTTTTCCCGACTTTTCTAACTCTCAAAAGGTTAGGGTTAGGGGTTAGGGGTTAAGGTTAGAAAAGGGTTTGGGGTTGGGGATAGGTTTATCTTATAAAAATTAAACTTTAACAATAGTCACTAGACTGCCGGCCATTTAGTATTTTATAAACCGTGACCGGCTGCCGGTCATATAGTCACTTCGTATATATTTATCTAAATGACATGCCAGCGAGGATCGACAATATAATTATTCGTACATATTTGGGTATCTTTTGTATGCCTTCGCTTGCTGACTTGCTCACTAATGAGAATAATCCGTGAAGCCACGACGACCTCAAAATGTACTATACTATGGTCTGATGTCAATCCGAAGACGAAGTTCAGAATACTGTTATAGTTTCGTATATTGGATTTAAGCGATAGATTCAAGTCATTTATGATAGACTTTTTTGCTGTGATGCTTTGCTATTGCTTCTGGTTTCCATTTCTAGTTTTATTTGTTCGATAGTCCTATAATATTGGACGGGCGTTGAGAAACTTTATATGAAGTATGCGTTTATTATACTGCGGGCTCAAGAACAAACGTTGTCGTGACGTTTTGAGAGAACTGAGTTGTTTAAAAGGAAATTGGTCGTTTTGTACGCTGTTTTGGACGCTTTTGGATCGTGAAAACTTGTTATTATTGTCGATTTTGTATTGCTCTGTTGGCTGGCTTGAATCAAGAAGATTTGACTGTTTTTGAACGGTAAAAATGAGCATAATTTGACTGATTTATTTCCGTATATGTGACGGTCGTAATATTTTAACTTAGACAGTCTCAGTTTATTCATTTATGTATTGTGTAAGGGTAATAGGTATGTTTTAGTATTTCTGTATTATTTCGCTTTGTAAGTTTATGAATATTTGTCTTTTTAGCGTGAAAAATAAAACCGTTCGTTATTGTGAGTGGTGTGTACTTCATGTAACATTTAATATACAGTCCCCAAATACAAGTATTGAAGGCGCGTGGGTTGGTCGTCAACAAACATTGAAACGAGGCCCATAGGCGTGAACAAATATATAATATTAAAATGAATAAAGTTCAAATTCTTCAAAATGCTGTTGTTGACATTTGCTATTTTTAGTAATTTTGTCAACGAGTGTAAGCCAATCAGAAGCCTGCGTTTCTATACGAACGCCACTACCAAGAAAACCTATCATCCGTGCAGGCCCTCTATTCTTCGCGCCGCCCGCAACCCAGGGCCTGTTCGCAGGCTACAATTTGTTGATGTGCTTGCGCCATTTGCATTGCAAATATGTGCACCTACTTTAGTCACGTGACCCGTGTTTTTCTTTTGACCGAGTTTTAATTGGATAAACAATACAGTTTCCAGACCAGTCCCTCGCTTCTATTGACTCTGCTTTTATCAACTTGCTAGTCCGTATATACACACTATACATGTCTAATAGTCAAAACTGTATATACTGTATATTCTCGCTTTTATCAACTTGATTGTAAATATGAATGCATGTAGACATGTATGATTATAGCCTTGTTTTGTAATCAAATATTCTATTACACATTTTAGCACTCAAACCAGTCTTATAGTTATATTTATAAATATAAGTCATAAAGGCATGTTTCCTATTTGATACATATGTCATAAAGGCATATAATATTAATATGTTTCCTCGTTCTTGAAAAAATCCCGCTTTATACTTAATTTAAAGACATGAGTAAACTGAGTGTTTGAGTGAATGTCAAAAAGACATAGGCCTATATACACAATATACCAGGGCTGCAAATAAATATTTGACTTGACAGGACATTTGTCCGATCACTTTTAATTTGGTCGGACATAACTTGAATTTGGTCGGACATATATACGTCACAAGATATATATAAGTCATGAGACAAGTATGTATAGCCATTCCGGCGCAACGTTAAGTAAAATGCTCGAATGCCTCGTAAATTTTATTGCAATCAGATTTTGTCACAGCAAAAAAATGTATAACGTAACAATATATTTTTTTGATCGGACCAATGTCCGATCAAAATTACTTTTGCTTGGACATTTGCCAAATTTAGTTGGACATTGTCCGATGTCCGACAGTAATTTGCAGCCCTGATATACTTAATCTGCAAATAGCAAATGCTAATCGAGGCGAATAGCGTAGAAGAAATAATTTTGTGAATTGGTAGAGTATAGTCAAAAGATGAATATAGATCTTATTTCCAGTGTACAACATGCATATATTATCAGTATATAGTCAAAAGTGTATGCAGTGTATATAGTGAGTGTTTGAGTGAATATCAAAGGACAAAGAGTAGCTATATTGCCTATATAGTGTATAGTCATAAATACACAATATACATAATTATATTAGTACTGTAAGTCAAAAGTGTATATAGTGATGTACTGATAATATACATTGTGTATATACTGTACACTAATCACTATATCTCCATATACACTTTTGACTATATACAGATAATATATGTACAGTTTATATTCTGCATATACAGACTAATACAGTATAATTTATAGTATATACAGAATATACACTATTTACTCTTTGACATTCACTCAAACATTCACTGTATACACTAGTCACTAACTATATACACTTTTGGTTATATAAGCTGCAGCATATACACAATATATCCTACATATCTACAGAGTGTATAAAAAAAAACTGAACAGATTTGAAATTGCTCTCAATTTCGCAAAACAGCTACTAGTTTTTTATATATATGGCTCTTTGGGTACTTATAATGTAGAATAATGAAAAAAATTGCTCGAACACAAATTTTGTTAACCTGGGAGGGTGTGTCTTTTCCGACAAACTAAAAATGGCTTGCGCACGAGATTTAAAAGCTATAATCGTATTTTGAGTTAATGGATGAAAAATGTGTTGGGTGTTTAATTGCTGCACGGAATTTCAGACAATTTGCTTCAGTTTAAGCGCTTCAACTATTCACGCAAACTTACATTTTTCCTAAAAAAATCAGCAATTTGCATGCTTAATTAGTGCATTTGATTTGCCCAATTTGCATATGTCAGCAATATGCAAATTAGGTAAAGGCATTAATTAAGCATGCGAAAGGCTGATTTTTTAGGAAAAAATGGATAGTTGAAGGGCTTAAACTAAAGCAAATTGTCTGAAATTTTGTACAGTAATTAAAAACCCAATAAATTTTCCATCCATTAACTCAAAATACGATTAAAGCTTTTAAATTTCGTGCGCAAGCCATTTTTAGTTTGTTGGAAAAGACACAGCCCCTGGTTCACAAAATTTGAGTTCGAGAATTTTTTTTCATTATTCTACCTTATACGTACCGTACCCAAAGAAGCTATATACATCAAAAACTAGATACTAATGGCTGTTTTGCGAAATTGAGAGCAATTTCAAATCTGTTCATTTTTTTTATACACCTTGTATAGACAGTATAGTGTATACATATACATAACATACAGGCTATTCTGTACATTATACACTCTATATACTATTTATACAATACTCAAAAGATATAAACTCAGAATCTTTGAGTGTGGTGTTCATCCAGGTCAGAAAATCTTCATAAGTCAGACTTTCTTCTGGCTGTCTCTTCGCAATTCGTTCACTGGAGCACGAGAAATATTTTGAATTGAGCTGTCAAAAATACTTCACAAGCGGCGATCTGTATTTCTCGGTGAAGCGAACCTATCAACTGCAATGCGACACCACTGATAACAGGTTTTGAAGCAACAAAATAGCACCGGTGAGGCACACAAGATATCAAATTACATGTTCGCACTCCATGTGTTTTCCTGTATGATAAATATTTATGTTCAGCAAAAATTTCATCCATTTCGGGCGTTAAATCTCGAAGCAACCAAATGTTTTCATATTAGTGATGGGCGATACTATCGAAAAAGTATCGAAATCATCGATACTTACAAAAGTATCGATACTTTCGATACTCGCAAAAAGTATCGGTAATTCGATACCACTTGAGCCTGCGATGTTTTTGGTCAGTATTCCTGACCAATCACTTAATGCTTCATGAAGGCAACAGACAGAAGGCCCCTGAAGGCAAAAAATGTTGACATGATGCTGTTCTTAAACAAAAACATGTAGCTAATTAGCAATATATTTGAGGAAAACATTGTTGTTTTGATTTAAAATCATAATTGCAAATGTTATGTTCGATTATTTGGCAGGTACTCCAGTTAGAGTATTCTTTGACTTGTTTTAAACATTAATGTTTGTGTTTTAAAAGTTATTTTAATAAATGGAAAAAATTGAGTATCGGTATCGATTTTGGTATCGGTATCGACCAAAATTCATGGTATCGGACTGGTATCGTATCGAAACCAAAAAAGCTGGTATCGCCCATCACTATTTCATATACACGCTGACCACAGGCGGCCCAATCTCAGAATGAATGATCAGGTGTTGCGGGTTTTTAACGGTTTTTATAAACAAATTTATAGTCAACCAAAACTATTTTAAAAACATTCTTAAATTAGTCAAATAAATACATTTTAACAATAAAATATAGTTGACATGATAGTATAATACCTTTGCATTCTTTTAATTAATCCATGAGCTCATTTAGAGCGGTTGATGTAACATTTTCTGTGGCCTACATTGTGTGTGCTCATCCACAGGCGGCCCAATCTCTGAACGTCCTATATATTTTGAATATTTAACCGTTATTATATTTTAAAATAACAAAATAATTAAAAAAATATTAACAATATATGTAAAAAATATATCTCACTTGTTAATAGAATCCATTTGTTGTGTTTCTGAGTCTAGTTGATGCGATTGCTTTACGTTTTCGTCGTACTTGAACGGTCATCAGTACTATGGCACTGGACGACATGGCCGTATAGGACATAAATAACTACAAGGCTAGCCACTTATCTGATATACTCTCCGACATCGAGTCCAATATCTCGCCTCAGAATCGTCGCAGAGCAATAAATTTCACATCGTCTAATAGCACGAACGTTCCTCTTTCGAAAGAACTTGGTTTCTTCACCATTGCGGCAATTCCCGCGACACACGACGAATTTTGTTTGTCAAAAGTCCAAATTTCCATTTTTCGACAGACGCGCTAACCCCATGATCGTCGCCACGAGAGCTGCTCAGCAACCTGGCCTCCTCGTTTGAAAACATTCCATCAGGGGGGGGAGGAGCTGGACTGGAATGAGGGGGCTTTCAAAGCAACACACGATATAAATAGAAATTATTACTTTATCATGCTGTATTCGACAATAAACAA